AGGGCTTAATTTAAATAGTTTCTTTGAAATCTCACAAATATATATGTACTTGTTAGTTCAAAAAAGCAAGCAAACATGCTACGAAACATACAAAACTTATACTATTGCTTATAATTCTTTTTGAGGTTATAAGGATATATAGATTATTTTGAGCAAGAATGTAGATAATTAAAAGTGAAATTTAAAATTATAAAGAAATTCTATTTAGACATATGAAGATTGAGTGATCATCGAATCAATTGAGACATTCTATGATTCTGAATAACACTTCAAGAAGATGTCTGAATGCATAAGAAGTCTTTGATTACATTAGAATGCTATAAGAGGATTTTTCTCTTTCTTCCTATTCTAAAAAGTCAGATATAAAGCTTGTATTTCTGTTATTTTTAAATTTCATCGTAGGAAATATATTTTTAATCAAATTATATTTTTAAACGATAATAATATCTCTATATATTCATTCCATGATTCTAGTGTTCTTCTAATCATATTATCTATCGCAAAAGATATCATTTATTCCTTTATTTTCCCTTTATTTTTAAAAGATAAATGATTCATTTACATTTATTTTTTAACAATAAAGTATTCTTTTATTTATTTAACTTTATTTTTTATAAATAAAGGATCCATTTATCTTTATTTTTTAAGAATAAAGAATTCATTTATCTTTATCCTTTATTATAAAGAAAAGTGAAGATAAAGGATCACTCCTAGTCAAGCATCTACTTTTTTTCGATAATTTCATCATTTTTCGAAAAAATTCACTTTCAATCTCGAACACATGTTGCTTTTTTTTTTCTTCATATAGCACCATTGAATAGAACAAACAAAGTTCTCTATCATACATAAGTTTCACAATAATCGGTCTTTCTAAAAGTTTTTTTTTGAATAAAGTCTTTGTATGAGACTAAAATGAGGTGGTCGGATACTTTTTCGAGTAACTGTATACGTATATTAAACGAATTATTTATTCTAAATAAACTCACATTGCCAATACTTGATAGGTATTAGCTTCTTTTTTTTTTTTATAATATTCAGATAATCATTTTTCCATTAGAATAAAAACTTCGTATTTTTAGTTTTATCTAAATAACAGAAAACTCTGATTATGATGTCTTCTATTATTTTTATTAAGTAAAAAAATTTAGAATTTTAACATAAATTGAATTTTCATTAACACAAACTGCAAGATTCGATAGTAATGTTCATGTTGTTATTGTTCAAGTAATAAGTTTTACTGTTAGGTAAAAAGCAAGTAGAAATGATACCCAAATAGTTAGATTACATCTGTATCTTTATAATTTCAATCAGCTTCAAAATTCGATAACGAAAGTACAACAACCCATTGAATAAGGCATTATCTTTAGAGAAAATTTTTATTTTCAAAACTTTTAATAATTTCTTTATTCATACTTGATATCTATGATAGACAAAATCTTGTTTATATAATTTTTCCAATACAAATCAAACTGATTCCTAAATTATTTTTATTTTTATTATTTGATAATGATACAGAGAAGGTGAACATACTTTCCATTCTTGAGCATATCGAATAATAATTTTTCTACAATGATCATTAGAAGTCGCAATATCCATTTTGGCTACATCTTCAGAATCTTTAATATTAAATGTTTTATCGAGATTTCATATTCCTATTTAAAACTATCAATTTACGAAAATAATTGAAGAATAGATCATATCACAGGCAAACCATGACAATCTAATAAACACAAGATTTATGTTTGTAAATATTGAAAAAAAAGGTAAATTTATGTTATCTCAAGTAAATCGACATTTAACATAATACCCTGTTTGATAAGCTCATCGAATAACTGTATCTTTAATTTTTCCAGTTAAATATATGTTCATAATATGGAAGACTAGTAGTAAAAGGTGATCTATCATAGAATGTATATCTTTAATAATAAACGTATCTTGTTTTTTTATTTTATTTAAAAAGTTTTCTTTTTACCTTAGTCGATCTCTAGCTAATTTATTACTTGTTTCAAATGCATTCATCTATTTCTACTAAGCTAAAATTTTTTTTTTCATTACTTTCAAACTGAAGTGTTTCATCGGACACGGAAAAATTCATTGAAATAGAAAGCATTGTAATTATAAGTGCACTAGTATTATTCGTATCCATTTTTTAAATAAAAGACAAATAAATTATTCTGTCGATCTCTAATAAAGTCAGTATTTAAATACTTAGGTCTGACCAAAAGTTCCCAGAATATTAAATAAAAATATAAAGATAAGGAGATATTTTTTATTTTATTTTATCAAATGTTGAGGATAATTGCCATGATTATTTAAATCAAGTTTAATCCTTTCGACACAATTTATTAAAAGTTTTTTTTTAAGTTTTTTTTCGAAAAAATTTTTAGCTGCCTTGGATATCACATGAGCTAATCATATTTCATTTATTTAATCAGTTAAACTACATTCGATAAAATTAGTGTAGCCACAAATTATATAGTACCAGGCTTGGCGAAGATGACTGCTATGACATTATATTGGTGTCTTCTTCTGTCAAATAATTAATAACAATCAGATGAGTATGAAGTCAACGATCATCTTTAAGCAATTTTGTACATTTTGAACCTGATGTTTATGTTTGTTTCCATATTTCATTAACAAAAGGGTTCAGATAATTTTCAATATAATACTTGCGATCTACAGTCTTACCTTTATCTACACTCAGGACTATTTGATTTAATGGATATACTAAACAAAGTTTTGCTTCACATCTGTTTCCATGAACAATAATCCTTGACAATTCATCTTCAATAAGCCAGTTAGCATCAGATGACTTATGATTGACCTACCTAAAATAAATCCATATCCCATTACTAGTAATGCTAGAATGAAACTGACATGATCGAACAAAATCCCACTAAATTTTAAAAATAAATGAAATATGATTAGCTCATGTGATATCCAAGGCAGCTAAAAATTTTTCCGAAAAAAAACTTAAAAAAAAACTTTTAATAAATTGTGTCGAAAGGATTAAACTTGATATAAATAATCATGGCAATTATCCTCAACGTTTGATAAAATAAAATAAAAAATATCTCCTTATCTTTATATTTTTATTTAATATTCTGGGAACTTTTGGTCAGATCTAAGTAAAAAGAAAAATAATGATTGTTGATGTATTCTTTATAAATCCTTCCTGAAATTTCAATAAAGCTGATACAATTTATTAATCATACAAACTCTTCTATGAGATTGAATTTATTAATTAAATATACAATTCAACTTCGAAAAAGTTTTATTTCAGATTTTGAATTTTTCTATCATGACTTCGTATTGGAGCAAGAACAAAATATTCAACTATCTTCTTTTTTTTTCAACAGAGTTTTAATTTTAATGAGCAGAAAAATTTATATTTATTATTCTATATGTGGCCATCATCTTTCGAGAAAACTTCTCTTCATCTTCCTTTGATCATTAACACCAAAAAAAGTACTGTAGATGATAATCGTTTTACTCTGATTTGATATTTTAAAGAGAGACACTCATATGATATCTGGATATATATTGCAATTTACTTCATTATTTGATCTAGAAGTCTTATGGTTAGACATGAATCAACTAATCTTCATCCTATTCCCATAGTAACTGTACATCGATATTGTTTTATGTTGTTAAATAACATTATCATAAAAATTAGACACAAAATTTCAATATCCAGTCTCTTTTTTGTATTTACACCCTATTAGAGAGCATCAAATCCGATAAATGATCGATTTGATCGATAAATATTTAACGTACACAACAGATAATTAATGGTATAGCTCAAAGATTTATAGCTTGATCGTCAATAGAATGTATAAGAAATCTTCAGACAGAGTATTGAAATAATATTAGAATCTGGTCGTGCAGTCAAGTTGTAATCTCATTTCATCATCTTGAATATTCGATTGAAACTGAGTTCGATGCTGAAACTAGAACTATTGATTAATGTTTATGTTCAACTAACCATCTGACAAGGAGTATATTAAAAGATTAATAACATTCCAATAGAACAACACATTGCTTCAAACTTATAAACAAGGGCAAAAGAAGATTGGATGGTCAATATCATGATCGAATTTTGTTTTCGATGAAATAAAAAAAAAGATTAGTCTCAATAGTATCTATTCGTGACAAGCTATTAGTTATTGTGTCTATTTTAGAAAGTTCTCTTTGGAAGGGGTGGATGTGAGTGTCGGTGGGTGTAGGTGTGGGGTGTGGGTGTGCATGTGGGTGTCGGTGTTGGCGTAGCGTCGGATGTGGGTGTGAGGAGAACATCTATACTCGCGCCTGCACACCCACACTCTAATCAAATTCGATATTGAGGGTGTAGAAGTTTGTCTTCTCTTCACATCAATACTACTTCATTGTAAAATCAGCGATGTATTGAGATCTGTCTAGATGAAATGAAGAACAAAGCGAACCGGAATCCAATCAAATGTTACTATCATCGACTTCACAATCACTAACATACATCATAGAATTAATAATATATTATAAGCAAGAGCTACATCTCACAAACTGAGAAATATTCTTTTTAGAATAGTTTTGACTGTTAAAATTGACGCTCTAGTTGCTTCCAACTGAATAAATAGTATTGAAATGTATTGATGCGTGCCTATGAATTCCGCTAGGTTCATCATGGATCAACGTATGAATTACAAAAATCGGGTGAAGATCATTCCTTTAGATTATTGATCGAAGAAATCGGATAAACATTTACTCGTTTTCAATCGCTGTTGATGTAATAAATTAAAATCGATAGTTTGGATTTCTCATGAAAGAAATCAGGTATAATCGCTTGTAAAAATAATTGAAAACATCGTGGCTTTATTTTAATTTAAGCAAAAAGGTTCGAGAAAATTTGATTTTTTTTTCTGTTAAGTAATAACAACCAACTTTATAATCACTTTCTAATGTAATTAATTAAAATGAAAATAGTAGTATTTCGAAAACCTTTGTTCACTACTGTATCTTGAAATTTAAGAAAACTCAATTCCACCATCAATCATAATACTCTGTCCAGTCATATAGTCCGAGTCCTTGCTTGCAAGATATGATACAAAATTTGCTACATCTTCTGACTCGCTTATACGCCCAAGTGCGATAAGCTTGTTTGAGTAGTCTTTGATAACCTCTCCTTTTTGTTTTCCTTTAATTTTCGCCAATTCTTCGTCAGCCATATCCCACATGGCAGTTTGAACAATACCTGTTTTAATTACAATAGAATGCTTTTGAATTTGAAAGAGAATAGTATCGAACATACCAGGACAGTAAGCATTAACCGTTATTTTGTATTTGGCCCATTCCATGGCAGCAGCTTGTGTAAGACCACGCACACCCCACTTACTGGCCGAGTAAGGACTCACCATTGGAAATGGCCTGTATCCAACAATACTGCAAGCTCCAATGATTTTGCCTCCATTGCCTCTGTCAATCATAGCTTTAGCAGCTTCTTTGTAGCAAAGAAAGAGGCCACGCATGTTCGTTGCAAATATTTTGTCCCACTCTTCTGAAGTGACATCAATAAGTGGTTTTATCTGAGAAATTCCTGCATTGGCAACCATAACCTATATAATTCGATCAAAATATATGAAAGTACCGAAGTAAGAATGAATGCTTACATCCAAACTGCCAAGTTCTTTTACAACATGTTGCACCATTGTTTCGACTTCTTTATCAACAGAAACATTAGCAGTGATGGCAAGAGATTTCCGACCGATCGCTTCAATTTCTTTTCGAACGCAGTTCAGCTCTAATTTGCTTGATGAAGTAGAGTTGACAGCCACATTGAAACCATCTCTGGCAAGGCGAAGAGCAATGGCACGCCCAATTCCTCGCGAAGCACCAGTGACTAAAGCGTTGCGTATCATCTTAAGCAGTATCGTGAAGAATGAAAGATGCGTCTGAGTACAAAATTTCGCTATGTCATTGCAACAAATTATACGAAATTATATATTGATCAAAATGCACTAAGCTAGCTACAAAAACTAGCTTAGCGTAGGTCATTTTTTCCGCTAAAAATTACTTGTAGACATTAGACTTAAATTAAGGTGCAAAACATGATATGCTCCGTTCTCAAACCACGAGTAGCATATACCGAGAGAAGTCTACGAAAAAAACGTTGCTTTTATCAGCACTAGAGATGTATGTAAGAAAGCATGCATTGATTTGATACAAATGATACAATTCGACTTCATTATCTGATATTTTATGAAATTATTATGAAACACTAATAGAACATAAAAAAGAAATTTTCAGTTCCTTCTCTCACACTAAAAATTCTTCTTTAGAGCCCTGTGACACCGTACAAATGTATTGATTTCACATACTATCCATTCCCACTGTCTTTCATACTGAATGTTGTGATCGATTCAACATATATATATGGGGATGCTCAGTCTGACCGGAAGCCCCAATCTCTTTTTTATCGTCGTGCTTCTATAATATATCTAAAAACTATGATTTTTTTACCACTTATAGTATTCGTATAATACTGATGATTGGTCAAGTCTAAGGGGTCTATACCTGGTTTGAAATCAAAATAATCGAAGTCTTCAAAAGAATCTTTTGCTATTTACGAACAGATTTTTTGAAGACTTTGATTATTTTGATTTCAAACCAGGTGTAGACCCCTTAGACTTGACCAATCATCAGTATTATACAAATACTATAAGTGGCAAAAACATCATAGTTTTTAGATGGCTACTTCTCATTTGCGAACATAACGAAAATAAATTTTAAGTAAATTCAAATTTTTAAAATTTCGTTTGATTTAAATTTGATTACTGCGAACGAATATTGAAAGTAAATTGTTTTAAAAGATTTTAATAGAAAGTTATTTTTTTTACTAATCATGCTGCAATTTGTAGAGGACGCAAGTTTTTGATAACAGAAA